TACTAAAGAATACCATTTAGAATAATTACTTTACATAACTTTAATTTTTTAAATATCTCTAAGAAATTTGATAGGCAGCGAATATAAGAAATTATTTTGATATCTTTCTAATAGATATTTCCTAATTATTACAAATTATTTTTACGTTACTTCTCTTCATTTTTCTCCAAGTTTATGAACTTTCAATTTTTCTTCTCAGCGTTCGCTCATCGCTTAATGCTGAAAATGCGTACAAAGTCATTTTGAAATAAACCACGGTAAGTGTGAGTTACATTTCGCGTAAAAACATGCGTTCCTCGCTGCATTCCTCACGTTTATTACGTACACGAAACATATACGTTAACAAAGAAATGAATAATACATGGAACTTTGAAGCGGATTCTTTCGTGACTCGTAAAATCTGATGATGCCAATCGCGAGTGCCGCGAATGAAATCCGTTCGATCGTATGAATGAAAAATGATTATGGTTCAAAATCACGTCTTAAACGAACGCACCGATTGGAGAAGTTGCGAAGTAAAATTATTTTGCACACGCACATTTTTCAAGTTTGTTCCGCTAACTCGTAGTATCTATAATCTAAATTGTGAATGTTGGCTATATTTTTATTTATATTATTTATAATAACAAAACATTACTTTATAATCGTTAAAAATATTCACAAAGTTGTTTTGAATATTAATATTTATTTTTTTTATAAAATAATATTATAAATATTAAGAATCTTACAAGAAATTATCACCATTCTTTATAAATAATCGTATTCCTTTAGTAGGTACCATTTATATGTTAGGTCTTATTTATGACGATTTCATCATTGATTGGGCGATCTAAATACTATAAGATAATTAATCGCGATAGGAAGTGTAACTAATCGGAAAATGAGCTGCGATACAACACATTAAATTCCCTCAAATTACACCCTCGGTGATCATCGGCCTTCCCGATAATAGAGAACTAGAAGTTCTCAAATGCCGACTATGAACTTTCCATATTCATGACAATAGTCTAGCCCCGTTAGAAGATTATTTAAATCGTTGCTGGCTTCCACATTGCATGGCAATTTCGCGCATTCCGCGACGGAATGTTTATGCTCGCCGCGTTTAATGCGAGCATGTCGGCATTTAACGCATTGTCGGCGGCGGTCGTCGCTACGTGTATCAGATTTGCACGCGGCGGAATAAAAAGTAATAACGGAAAAAAAAAAAAAAAGAAAAAAAATTTGCGGGGAGAAATCACAAACCTGTCGGTTGCCTGCCGGTTGACGAGATGAATTATAAATCGTGCGTACGCGACTATCTCGCGAGTATCGTATCGCGGACGTATCGAGAGACGAGATTTTAATCGCGCCGAGCTCTGACAGATGTGATTGCACGACGTGGCTGTGTGCATCGCGACGAGTCCGCGATAAAATGCCCCGGCCGACTTGCCGCAAAACTTGACGGGACAGGCTTTCGAAAGGCGGCGAGTGCCGACTACTAATCAGGTAGCTCGCGTAGCGTAGCGGTAATCGACGGTAATGAAATAAATATATTTGCGCACAGATTCGCTCCGCGCCATGCGATACGCCCCTGTACCGATCTCGCGAGCTGTCATTTTGCGAATCGGAGCGATCACGAATCGATCACAAAAGGTCATCAGGATGACTTTTCTGTAGGCAGCGCGTTGTCTAGGGAAATTGCGTAAATATTATATAATGTTCTTTTATCATGTTCGATATTATTGCCGAATTTATTAATTTTTGTGAAACGTAGATTTTTTTTTTTTTTCCAATATATTCTTAAACTTAATGTATTTCATAAAATTAGTTATTCTAATTAAGAATAATAAAAGGCTGGCTTTAAATTCAAGGTAAAGTTTGTTGATAATTACACATTAAAATAGACGTTCCTCCGATTACCCGCAAACAAATGAATATTTAACAAGCTGGAGCACGATGTTAGTGCAATTTTTCGCTAATGCAGGTGACTTTGTAAGACACGCAAATGATCGTGCAAAAATAGAAATAGCTATTTTGCGTGAAACAACAAATGTGTCGGAAAGCCGTTGATAATCCACGAAGTAAATCACTGGCTCGAAGGTCCCATCGCATCGATAAGAATCGCGTCTGAACATAAACTACGACTAATAATCGCTACTCGTTGTTTGAATAAATCTGTAATGCGTCCGTATACGAGCCGCATTCCTACATAATTCATGCGCGAACGCGCCGGCAGCGAGAATTTGTTACTCGTTTCCATAGATAACGGCTCGCGATGCAGATACCCCGCCAATCGCCAGTGGATGCTTATTGCGAATTTGAGTTACTGTTCCTCGGTTTTAGGTGAACGAGTTAAAGAGGGAAACGAGCGCGTTACGATGCACCGCGTTCGACATAGTTCGACGAATGAAAGGAAAGGCACGTCGTTGATAAAAGTCATCTTATTTTTTGGTGGATTTAAAATATATGATAATTAATATGACAAGGGGAAGTAGAGGAGAGATAGAGATCTTCGAAATCTAATAAAAAATGTATGAGACATAAGTGGAGCATAAAAAAATAATTTGACTTTCGAGATAAAATAAACGGATTGAAATATATATTACAGAAATGTTGCTCGTTAGACGGAGATAATAAAGAGAAATAGTTCGAAAGCTATAATTTTAACGCAGAAGGTTTTCCAATGATCCGTGTTGAAATTCGTGGCCTCGGTATTAGACGGACGTATTTAGACAGGTGAGGCCAATTTAACGATATATCACGCTGCACTTCTGCGTGTTATCGTTCATGCATCATGTCTTCCACGGAAAAAAAAGAGCCACGTTCTGCACGCGTGAGAATAAATCATGAGCGTCGCGAACCCGATTTCCTGCTATCCTTTCAATTTCGCGCGTGCAGCGACGACAGGCAATAAAGTATGAATAATACCAAACAGAAATATCGAAGACATTATGTGTCCTCGAGAAAGTGCGATATAAAAACAAATAAGAAAATATAATATATGTATATTATATAACAACAGATATAACAACAAAACAATGTTGAAAATATTTTTTGTGATGTATGTTTTTTAATAGCGAATGTTAATCAACAATGTTTTTGCAGATTTCGATACATAACAAATTTAAGAAAAATGATAACAAATTGCAGGAGTATGTGCGATATAATCGATGCAATAACAAAAATTTTTGATTAATAACAACGAAGATTGATTGATTCAGCGCATGTCCAGCTGTAAAAATACTTGTCGTCTTAACAGATTTGATTCGTTAATTACGTCATTTCATAATCTCACATTGAGATTCGACTCATTCAAAAATGAATTCCGAGTTGGTGAGTCGTTTCACTTTCTCATTGTCGAAATCAATAACAGTGAAATGGAATTTATTTAATTACCGATTAAACATTTCTGATTCATAATGTTTCTCGCGAATGTGAAACGTTCCCAAATAAAGCAGAATTCGATAACAAAACTTCAGTTTATAGCTCATGTAACTGCGATGGAAATTTCCGATCTTGTTTTAACGGATTTTCACTTAATGGCAGCGTGTACATTTCGCTGTATGATGTCTAAATAACATAACAGACAACGAAAAAAATATCTACTAATTAACGAATCGATTAATCAACGACAAACGGAGCTTCAGGCGTTACAAACGACTAATCTTGTTTACTCGTTAATTACGAAAGTTACTCCCACCGCAACGACTCATCTCGTAAAATCTCGAAAAACAATCATGAATATTTACGCGAAGCCTTGATTAAGAGCTGTGTGAACAAGTGTCAGATGTTTCTTCCCGCCTGAGTCTTTTTAAGACGGATTTCGGGACTAAAGTTACAAGCGATCGTCTGCTGCATTTTCGAACGGAGAAGAAAATAAGCATTCAATTTAATTTCAAGAACAAATACAGGCTTTGACAAACACAGTTCTTTCTTCGTTATCGCGATGACAGTAACACCGTGGCGATAATATAATATCCAATATATATGTATATTTTAAAAAGCTTAATGAGTCCATTAAAAATAAAAATATAAAGATGATTTATTCATATATTATAAGATGTTTTGAAAAGTCAGATAATGTATTTTCCGAAAGTTGTATTATAACGTAACGTTTTTCCGCAAATATAGATGAATGATTATTGTTGTATCTAAATTGAAATTTTCACTTAAAAAGGAAAAGATTAAAACATAAGAAGAGAGAATATGATGCTACACTCGCAAATATTTAATATACTTGTTAAACAAAATTAAAAATTTTTATTTCTTTAATGCTTTATAAAACAAAACAAATCTATCTATTATATTTCATAAGAGCTTATAGAGTAATTATGTTAATGTTTTATTATATTTTTTAACGCGTAGTAGACGCGTTGTTGCATAGTAGTCATCGTGTTTTATGCAAGCGGGCAAAGTGCGATGTTTTGAAAATTTACACGTGTTTTTAACAGCAACATTTGAATTCATTATGTGTTTAAAATACAGGTATTCTAATGCTTCGTACTTCGTCGGTTATCACCGTGCGGCTTATCCGCAGTATAACCTTTTTGCTTTTGCGATTACGATAACATACGCGCGTCACTAAAATCTTTCATTTGTTTAAGCCAGTCATGTGTTTTATATTTATAAACGTTACCTTTATAAACATTATCTGCGCCCTAATTTAAGTTTAATATCATTTAATACGAAACACAGATTTTTGCAGAATTTGCAGGATTTTTTGGATACACGGAATATGCAAATTAACAAAATAGTCAAACAAAATGGATATGTTTTGAAATAAGTTGAGAATCCTATTATGTAAAACTCTTTAGAGCTTGCCTGCTATCGGTGAACAGAGTTCTCATAAATGAGATTTTATTAAATAAAATATGATAAAATTTTTCTTGTGAAAAAAAGTGTCTTTTATATATGGAAATATGCATTTTTAAGACAAAACAAATTATGTACGTACATAATTAAGATTTGTAACTGGTTTAAAATTATAGTAGAATTGTATCATAGAATTGTAGTCGTTTGAACAAAAAGACAAAAGCGAGTCGCTTATCAAAGTAAATTATGCAACTTATTTCTTGCAGAAAAAAATGCATGGAATTCTGTCAAAATTGAGAAGATAGTATGTTTTATGTGCGATTTGATGGCAGAAATCGATTAATGAGCTGACTTGGAGCCTTTTGAATATTCGAGATAAAACATGCAATAGTATAGTGCACAATTGATACCCGATAAGGTAAAACTGCACGAAAATTTCCAGATAACTGGTTATTTCGACAACTTCGCGCTGTTTACGCAAAATGAAATAACTTCGGGCTGACTTCAAATATGCTTTTATTAACAATTATTATTAGTTAATTATTAGCAAGCTAATCGTTATTAATAATTAATCATTATTACCAGCACAACACGTGTACAACAAATACTTTCTCGCTACGAAAAAAAGTGTGATAAACTTGCAAATGCACTTGTTTACATACTTTGCAACGTTTAAAATGTTAAATGTCAAAACGATCGCGGAATACATTCAAAACGTTGAGGAAAAAAGCGATTTGCACGAAGGCACCTTTGGAAGACCGTAACATTTAAAACGCGATGATAAAGATCAGGTGCAGATCGGCGGAAAAAAACACAAGTGACTACTTCTGACTTTTGATAAGAGTTGCGACTTGACGTCGTGGAAAGTTACAAGTCAAAACTTCAAATCAGCGTCGTGCCATCGTATGGTAATGTCAAAAATCAAATTCATGTCATTTCGATCAACTGAATTGTTGATTAATATCATGCATATATTGCTTATGACATCGATATGACATCGGTCTTATATAAAATATAAATATATTATAATTCATTTTTACATTTATTAATGTTTTCCGTAAATAATACCAAGATTTAATAAATTCGTCTTTGATGCATAATGCAATTTTTATTTATTAGAAACACATTGGTTATAAAAATTATAAAACGCAAAAATAAATAAAATGTTAGCCTTGATATTATAAAGAAATAATATTTCCATATTTTGATAGAATCAAGGATACAAAGATTCTGTGTAAAAAAATGTGTACTGTCGACAATTTAATTTTTCTTTTTTTCATAATATAATAATTAAGAATTTGTACAACAAAGTGTTTACAAATTTTCTCTGCAATCAGTCCCAAACTAGGTCTTTAGACCTGATACGTAGAATAAAATGTAATTCTCAGCAAATGTGTGCGACGATAAAAATACTTGACGAGTTCGAAGTTGATGCAATCATCAAAGTGTATTAAAAAGTTAAATCGACGATGTGTCACGTGTTAATTATCACGCGGTAATTATTAACAAGACAGAAAGAGAGAGTATAATTGTCCAAAGATACCAGAGTAGATTCTCTTACTCACCACACATCACGTTCAAGTGTCGTAGCGATGCGAAAACAATGCGCTAAAATTGTATGTCATTCATGGAGCCGCGCACTAATTTCGGATGCAATCCTCGCGCACTGTGCCTATCGAATCAGTTTGGCGCGAATCACACAGATCTCCTCGGCAAACGTCAAACTACCGGCAAACTACGTCGCTTCCTTCTCTCACAGATACTTTAGCTAAAGCACCTTTGTCTCAGATTCAGCCGCCAATAAAAAACGCGGAATCAAAAACGCGTGCTCTCTCTTGGACGACCTTGATGGTGCCGTTCACCACCAATCGGTCGGTCGAAGTCTCTTTTCGAAAGCCACGTGGTCGATCGCGGCGAGGAAGCGAAGTCTTAAATCTCTCCTCTTCTTTACTCGAAATTTGAAATTGGACCTCGAAGAACCGTAAACTCTGGCGGTGGTTTTAAATTCCTGGTAAAAGTACTTGTACGTCAACCGATGACTTCTTTTCGCGATGGTTTGCGCACTTCCGTAGCGTGTATCGTCGGGGATAGCCGATGATGACAGACTACTACTTGGCGGCAGCCCGACTGCAGATAGCTGCGTGAGCATCAACCCGTGCGCAGAAGAAGAAACTCTCAAACCTTCCCTCTCGGAGCGTCCTGACTAAGAGCAGGACCCCGACTGACCCCGCGGTGTGGCCGAGGAGGGCACGCACGGTCTCTCGCATGTGCGGACGAGCGTGTGTCGGCCAGCCCGTAGCTTCCCCTTACCTGGTCTGCTCCTCTCCTCGCTCAAGTTTCGCTCTTCTCTCACCTGCGCGCCGGTCTCGTGTGCTACCTGGAGACTCCGCCTACCTATCGCTCGCTCGTCCGACGTGGTGGGAAAGCGAAGTGAGGAGACGACGCGCGCGTCCACCTTTCCACCTTCTTTCATCCCCCTCGACATCCCCCACTTGAAATTACTGGCAACGCGGTGGAGACCGTGCGGTTCTCTCTACGTGTATATATCCGAACACCCCACCATCATCTCCTCTAAACGGAGGAGCGCGGGAGGTGCGCTCTAAGCAGTCGTCCCAACGGTGGGCGACTTCCTCTTCGCCTGTAACAGGAAGAGCTCGCGAGATGCAGGTGCTCGGCCGTATCAGTGTCCCGATTTCTCAATTACGGATTAATTGCCCCGCGAGAGGGCGACCGGAATTAACGCGTCCGTTGGGACGTGGCGAGCGCGTTGTATCTCCATTGTAACGACCGTCATTTTGCATGACTCGCGCCGTTAGATCGTTGGTCGGTTAATTAACGGCCCCGCGACGCCTCGCGCATCGAAAAACGATCGAGCATTCTTAAATTCAAGTTGCACTTGCCTGTTTTGCAATTGAAATTCCTCGATCGCCTATCCGTTCGGCGATAGCACGTAACAGATTCTCGGGCACGGCGTCTCGGGATGCATGAGAAATTAGCTTATACAATATCTCTATCATATATTTGTCCCGACGTCGCGATGATCTAATCGATCGCAATCGATAGCCCGTAAAATACAAAGGACCATTCGGAATGTTAAATCATTTCAAAATTATTATTATTACGTAATCGCTATTGAATCTTTTATAATTAAATAATAAAATAAGTAAACACGATAGATTCGTTGAACGATCCGATTAGACAAATTGGAACGATTCGAGAACTTAATCCGTTGAATGTGCTGCTTTCATTGAATCTTAACGATGCAATCATTCCTAACATCTTTTTGCATTCCACATTTTGATTTTTGATTTTCCACGGCGATTATAGTTCTTAGATATTATACGAAGTCTATCCATTAGAGATTATCGCTAAAGCAAAGTTTCTAATTCGTTATCTCCAACGTAATCTTCTCCATATGCCAATCGGCATATGCAAAACTGTTTTATCCTCCTTATACAACAGGTAACAGCTTGAGTGACATTATAAATGTACGGTCCATGATCTAGGGTACCATCGCGTAACGTCCATCTTAACTCAACGCATGGGTGCAGACGCCAATAGGCACTCTCCGAGCGTTGCGGTGCGCGCGCACGAGATATCCGTCGTTAGATTTGATTCGGCGGACCATCTCAGGAGAGTAGGAGAGAGCCGAGTGCGTCGGCGCCGCCGTCGGAATCGCTCTCTATTGGTTCCTCTCTTCTAGGAAAGAGGCGAGGTTCCCGTTTCTCGCCCGCCGTATCCTAGACGCGAGAACGCGAGAAGTTTGGGGCTCTCCGCGACGACCTTGGGCTTAAACGCTGGGATAATCGCTGATGCCGATGTTGTCGCTGTTACAGCCATCAACCCCAGAATTATTGGATGTAGGTCAAGATTGTATCGCCACTTGTCAATCGACATGGCGCGTTCTTTCTTCTTTTCATATATATATTTATTTTATATAAGAGTCAAACGGATTGTTTACTTCGGTTTACGTTGTTTAATCTACTATCTACTGCGAAAAAGATTGCGAGGCAAAATATTATTTTCGTCTTAATCAACCGATTATATCAAACGTAGTGTAGTAATTTCTGTAGATTGAATTTCTAGGTCATTATGAAGCAGACGATACGACATAGAACGAAGATCAGTAAGAAATTAAATGTGTAATAATCGGGAACGCGCGTGTGCCGGAGTACTTTAATTACTCTACCTCGGCGATATGGCAAAAAGTGCCGTAATTGTCGTGCCACTGTCTGTGGATGCAATTTTACGCGGCAGAAAATTATGATGACTTCGAAAAGTGGACTCATTATTTTCGCAATTCTGGATCATTAGACAGCTCATCAGAAGCTTTTGAAAGTCATGACTGTTTAAAAAGATTAATCACCGTTAGCTAACGTAATGTTGGTCATATCGTGTGCAGTTGATCTAGTTATTGCTGAATATTTGAACTGGAAGACTTTTAAAATATTCAACATCTTCAAGGTTTCATTAATCTCTCTCGGTCCTGAATAATGCTCAACATATCTCGAGATTTCGATCGCATGTTTATATCAAAGATTTGACGCCCCTCCAGCTCGCGATGAAGCTTCCAAGACGCCATATATTTGCGTTTCGCGACGACATTTTTGCATATATTTGGGGCGTATCATCCAGGATGATTTACGTATTGCACACCTTGCGGAGATAACGTTTGCGATTAGCTTATGGTGGGTTTCCGAATGAGTGCGGTTAATCACGATCGACCGATCGAGTCATCAACTGCACAAGAGCTCTCATTAGCCACTTCGTTATCGTCACTTTCGCCTTGTTATACATACGAATAGATAATTTGTGAAGCATCTCGATATAATTTGTGATGCACAACGTGCAATATAAAATTGACAAGGCAGATTGCAAATCGTATTAAATGCGTCGGCTTAACAAGCTGAAAATATGGCGATTTATTGTCACGAAAATGATCACAAAAATTTCTTTCAAGACGTATTATATTTTTAATACAAAGAAAGAAAATAAATTATAGAAAAAAACGTAGTATAATTGTACACAATTGTTAAGCAAAGATTATTTATAAAAATTTAGGGGGCCTAAAGGAAATGTGTGTAAATTTTTTTGGAGCATTTTAATCAACTGAGAAACAGCAGTTATTATCGAATTCCAGTTGATTCAATTAAATTCGATTGACTGTTTACCATGATCACATTCTCGTGATACAAACACGAAGTTAGTTCGCCTGGTGACGTAAATCATCACATAGATCACGATCGAGACATTATTATTCCTCTCGTTTATTGTTCCTTTCCCCTCCGCGTTTCCCGACTCACCGCGACGAACGTATGCGCGTATATCGTCGCACAATGCAGACAAAATTAGCATCGCAATGTGTCGGCTGTTGTTGCTGGAAAACTGGGTAAACAGCTGTGTGAACAATGCGAACGCTACGACTTCCTTTACCCTGCCTCGCTCTTCCCTCTTCATTTTCTTCATTTCGCTCTCCGCGTCTCCCCGATCACCTGCACTATGAGGTCTGCATGACGACGATTACATCGAGGTTACAAGTGTAGCTTGAAAAGCAGATCGTTTTTATTCACGTAGAGAACTTGAATTTTCTGCAAGGGATTTCAGGAATAATCAAGAATTATCGATAATTTGTCACTTTAATTTCTTATTAATTATAAAGTTATGCATGAAAAATTGCATGAATGTTGTAAGCTTTCTAATATACATTTCTTGCTTTGTTCAAACGACTCTGAGCTATTGCAGAAAGATAAAAATATCGCATAGTAAAATTGATAAAATACTCGTTACTGGTCGCGATATAGTGCAATTTGTAGCAAGACGGTAATTATAGATATAATGATATATGAGAAATTTGCAATTAGATAGCTCTGCAAATAGAGTCAAAGTGACTACTTATTATTTAAATAAAAGGTCCCATAATGCATTACTTTTTCCTTAAGGTGATTAGAAGATTAAATTGTTCATATTTTGTATTTTTGCCAATTTTTTTATTTAAACTGAAAGGATATATAAAAATAAAATTTAGATAATATATGTATATCAGATGTACATCATATGGAAAAATCTTTTTTATTGTAAAATTATTAAGTTATAAGCATAGAAAATATAGCAAAGAAAAATCCATTTTTTAAATCATTTTGAAGAAATAACTTAACCTTCTTTTGTCTGATGTTTACAAATTTTATTGTAAAATATGCAAAATATTTTGTAATTATCATATGAATATCTATGTAAAATAGAATAAAAATTAATAAAATAGCGCCTATTATTAATAAAACTTGATTTTTTTAGCATTTCTCAGACTAAAAGATTAATATCTCAAAATGAAAAGTTGTGATAGAGTTTTCCGTGATTTAAGGTGAAAATCAAATGTATAAACAATATTTAGCTTTAACATTTCAATATAATTTGACATTAATACTTATGCTTCAAAATATTATTGCAATTGAAAGATTAAGTGATAAGAAAGAGTGAATTTTAAAATATTATCTTTTAGAGTATTAATTTTCAGTTAAAGTTATTAGAATATGACTGAATTACTTTTTAATATATACAGCTTTTTATCGATTTATTGGTTTACTAAATATACATTTGATTAAAATATACATTTGAAGCCA